CTTCTTGTACTAGACAAACTGGAAAACTATGAACAAATATCTGATGCTCTAACAAGAAACCAACTACTGGGGTCAGTCACAAATATCTACCCCTATGAGGAACAAGCAATCAAGGAATTCTATAGCAGCCTCACCAAAGCTACAACCAACCCCAATAACCCAATGTTTGGAAAGGTATATCTAAGAAGAAAATTTTATGAGTTCAACCCTGAAATCATCAATGAATACCTAGGGACAACTACAGGGGACCAAAATATTCAACTAGAAAGTGAGCAGGTAGCCCATGAACTTATAGCTGGAAATGTAAGTTTTGACAAAAACAAAATCAAGGTCGCATCCCTAACAAGCAAGTATGCTATACTATAGAAAATTGCCCTTGTCAATTGGATGCCATCTCGACATGAATCAACAGTTAAGCGGAGCCTAGCAGAACTGCTATACAAAATAGGGAAAGGGATCAAAATCAATCTTGGAGTTATTATTCACTCACAGATCACACACTTTGCAGAAAACAGAGAGTCAAAAGCCCTACTAATCTTTCCAAATCTGATCTACTCTATCCTAACCAAGCAAGGGCTAAAGTCTCAGGGAACAAAAGTACAAGTCAAAACCTTGAACACAACCATAAAACTGAAAAAGGGGGCACACCAAAATGACCTCAAGGCCTCAGTCCCAGCAGATGATCCAACTGACCAGCAAACTCTAATCAAATACTTTGAAAAAAGGTTAAAATAATTAGATGACTCAGAAAAACAATTGTTACGAAGACACATGGAAATCAAAGAAGAAAGAGCAGAAGTACTACAATGGTTGACAGCCCTAAAAGCAGATGATAAAGCAGAAGATGATCAGGAAAATGAAGAAGAAAATGACAGTGGAAATAATGAAGAAAATGGTCAGGAAATTGAAGAAGAAAGTGGCAGTGAAAATAATGAAGAAGATGGTCAGGAAGTTGAAGAAGAACAAGCAGATAATGAAGAAGAAGATGGACAAAAAGATGAAGAAGAAAGTAGTGAAAAATCTACCAAACATTCTCAAACTTTTAGCAAAAAGGGGGAGAAAATGGGTGGGAATTAGCTGTAGATAATCTAATCTGGGAATCAGCTGTAGATAATCTAATCTACTCCAGGAAGTTGATTTTTTTTTGTGACTGTCTTTGAATATGGGAATCAGCTGTTAAATTGATCTATTTGTGACTGTTTGTTTTTGGGAACTCAGCTGAACTGTCTTTGGATATGGAAATCAGCTGTTTAATTGATCTATTTGTGACTGTTTGTTTTTGGGAACTCAACTGATCTATCTGGAATATATAACAGGATGTTTTGACTACATTTTTTTTCCTTTTGAAAGACTATGTCTGACAGTGTCTGAACACTTAGAGTATCCGGAGTGTCTTGGAGCATATAGGATGACTGGACAAATCTACTTATGTCCTGGCAGGCTATTGGTGATTATCTTTTGAAGACTTGAAGTATCAAGATTATTTGACAAACTTCTTGTGATCTATACTGTGTAGCAGTCCCAACAATTGTCTATTCTTGAATATTTGTTGCATCTGCATATTACAGCATTATGCTATAGGATCTCATTTAAAAAGGAAAAAAAAAAAAAAAAAAAAAAAAGGAGGGGGAATCAAAAGCAAGAAGAAGACACATCAAGACTGGGATCAAACTAAGGGGGAGATAAGTCAAGAATCAAGTCTCTCTAAGGATCAAGGTTTTTGCAAAAGTTTGACAAAGGGGGAGAGTGTTGACCTCAAATGAATTGTCAAAATGTTAGATGCAAAAACCGTGTCCCAATCATATTAGATATCATAATCCAACTATGATTAGGATTAATAACCTATTCATACACAACCAAAGGTTATTTGATCCTATAAAAGAAGCCACTCTCAATCACAAGAACTCAAGCTTTCAACACCTAATCGTGAGCACGAGAGTCATTGAGAAGAGATACCCAAATTCCCTTGAAAAGTAGTACAAGTGTTTATGTCACAATAGTTTGATAGGAAATCATATTGTGTAATCCCTGTTCCCTAAACTAAGTGTACTTTGAATATCAAGCTTTTAGTGGATTTAGGCAAATTCTCAATTTGAGAAGTGCCTCGCAGATTAGGGTTGTTTGCCCGAACTACGTTATAAATTAATTGTGTCACAACGCCAGTTTCAACATTACCGAGTCCAACGTCTATATTAATTTCAAATATTATATTGCAGCCTCCAACTTAAAGAAATACCCAAACACGTACAAAACATAGAACCAGAAAATCAACATTGCAGTTTTATCTACTTCTATACTAATTTTGGTCCCACTAGTATTAGAAAAATGACAGTTTTGATCCACATGTTTAATCACTACCAATTATCATCCAAGAACTATTGTTTTCGTACCAAAATTGATCGCGCCGATCATACCTTATGCTAAAACATAACGGAATGTGAAATTGGTAGGGGTATTTTCATCCTTTCATAATTAATATGTCAATTCCGACATGAATAAAAAGGATTTAAGGATTTTAAGCCCTAATTTAAAAATCAATGACGACTCTGCTACAGCTTTGCTGAAGCCACGCAAGGAAGGACAAAGAACATTGATTTTTAAGTTAGGGCTTAATCCCTTTTATTCATGTTGGAATTGGCATATTAATTATGAAAAAGTAAAAACACCCTTACCAATTTTACATCCCAACATGTTTTAGCCAAAGAGGTGACTGGCATGAAAACAATAGTTGTGTTGGATGAAAATTGACAATGATTAAACATTTGAACCAAAACTATCATTTTGCTAAAGCTAGTAAGACCAAAATTGATATTTGCTCAAAATGTATACATCAATTCAACAATCTTAACCTGATAGCACAAGAAAAAAAGTTGGGGTTGCTCACCTGCTGCCATGGCCCTTCAATTCATGAAGGAGAATGTAATTGAACGCCTCTTTTGCAACTGAATTAAGCAACTGCATTGCCCTTCTGCACTGAACTGGCAACTGATATCTCTGCATTTCATAACTTTCCTTTACACCTCAAACATTCACCAAAGAAGGAAAAAAAATCTTTTTTTTTTTCTTGAAGATATGGAGAAAGAAGAAATAAACAAAATCTGACCCTTTGCTTCAAAAAAAAAAAAAAAAAAAGAAAAAAAAAGCCCAGGCTAGAACATATTAAACAGTGTAATCAAGAAACTTTATTGCGACATACGAATGAGGCAAGGAAATACATTGAATGTATGGAATTGGAGAGAAAGAAGTAACCTTTTGCATGTGCAGGGAATGCGGACCGTACCATTGATACAAAGTACATTTCTAATATATTAAATGTACACTATTTATGTGTATTACTTTTAATACACAAATGATATATTTACGAATAATATTCTTTTAGTACATAAATCAGTATATTAAAAATGACCATGATCCATGGTATAATGATTGTAATTTAACCGTCAAGTATGAATTACTTGCTATGGAGCCTCTACTCTGTTATTTTTTGATGAAAAAACAAAATAAGTTGTATGAATTAATATCTTGTGATAAAAAAAATTTGGTGAAAATTTATGGGTCCATGTACCATTACCCATAAAACGTTGTTAATTTTAAATTTTATAACCAAAAGTGGTAAATCATAATGCTCGAAAGACCAAAAATGATACAAATCTATAATTCATATAATCCTTCTTAACCTATAAATTAAAGTAGCATTATAAATATAGATTATTGATTTCTGTTAACTTAAAATGATTCTTTGTCTTTTTTTTTTTTTTCTTTAGGTTGCCCAAAGGTATCCCTCCAGTCGAAAGACTAATCCCCATCCTCCGTCCATACTGTCAGCACACTAAGTGATAGGGGACTGACCAAATGGTTTGCTCCATTCACATGGGTGGGATGGACTGGCCAAATGGTTTGCTCCATTCACATGGGTGGAGATCGAACCCCCAACCTCATGCTTAAGGGACGAGGTGCTGAACCACTGCAAATTATATCGTGCACCGTGGTGCATGATCGATCATGCACCGCGCATAAAAACGACGTCGTTTTGTTTAATGAAAAGAAACAGAATCTTCGCAAAAAATAACTCTGTTCTTCAGTTTCATTTTTGTATACACTGCAGTTTCAGTTCAACACAACTACAGTTTCATTTCGATATAACTACAGTTTCATTCAATATTTATACACTCAAATATGTGAAAATGTTATTTAATTTTATTTTATATACACTATAGTTTCATTAAAACAAAACTACATGATCATTTCAATATAATTACAGCTTCATTGTACAATATACACTCAAATATGTGAAATGTTATTCAGTTTCATTTTATATATACTGTAGTTTCATTTCACCACAATTACAATATCATTTTGATATAACTCCAGTTTCATTTGATAATATAAAAATAATACGTGAGACAGTGTCGGTTTAGACACATTGTAGTGTCACTTCGTTATAACTGCAGAAACGGCGCCGTTACGACGTGCGGTGCATAATCAATTATGCACCGCGGTGCACGATATAACGACTGCTGAACCATCACGCCAACCATATTGGTTTAAATGATTCTTTTTCTTGATTATTAAAATGTATACACTAATTGACTTCTCAACATCAACTTCTACAATCACTATAGGAACATTTTTTTTACACAATAAATTAAAGCTAGATTTAAAGAGAGAGCCAAAAAGTTCACTTCCACTTCCTATCCATCATACTCTAAACCAAGCAGATGCACACTTCTAGATCATGCATATCTTCATATAATTTATGTTGCATTATTAATAAATGAAACATATTATCTTAAAAATGAAAAAATATTTCATTGAACATAGTTTCCATTAGTGTAGTTTTTACACTTCATTATTAATAATGCCACGTGCACTCAAATTTGAAATCTTATTAACCAATAAATCAAGTACGAAGATAACCATAAAAATACAACAATACCAAAGCAATGCGGAAAAGAAAAACCTATGAAAATGAAACCCAAATTAGAAAGAAAAATGCATACCTCACATTATTTGTGACGCTTTTGTAAAAAGCAACAAATTCATCCTTTTAACATTAGCATATTCAAGCATTCCTTGGAACGGTTTTGCGTATCTTATTCCCGTAGAAAGTCACAAACAACCATTTTGGCTTCCCAGTTCGAGCCATGAGATTTTCCATGAAGATTCCAAATACCATTCCACAACAAAACCCAATCACTACCGCTCTCCAAGTAAATCCACTCAAGAATTTATCTTCCAACTCAACATGTTGTTGTTGGTGTTCATTTGACCTATTGTTGTCATTGCATTCTCTTGACAATGGAAATCCACATAAATTGAGGTTTCCTCCATATGAGTCATTTCCAAAAGTGTTAAATTGGTTGCTCCTAGGAATGGGCCCAATCAAATGATTTTGAGACAAGTTTAACACTTCAAGAAATGTCAATTGTGTGATCTGCTCTGGGATCTTCCCTACCAAGTGGTTCCAAGAGATATCCAAAGATTCGAGCAATGTCAAATTTCCAATTTGGTGTGGAATACTTCCATTGAGGCAATTGTGTGATAAGTTGAGAACAATTAGTGCATTTAAGTTTCCAATGTGCATTGGAATCTCTCCTTCAAGTTTGTTGCTTGACAAATCAATTGTAGCTAAGATGGTCAAAACCTTTTCTAGTCGAATCTCATAACCCTTCATCATTAAAGTGATTGAAATGTCATATGACCACAACTGAGAGGTTTGTATTTCCAAATAGCTTGCTTCTTGTTGACTTTCATGTATGACATTGACCATACTTTTAAAGCCATTGAAAAAATATTTTGGGAGGGTTCCTGTAAAACTATTACAAGAGATATCAAAGACCTGCAATTTGGGAAACCAAATTGTAGAATTGGATGAGGTTATGGGTCCATACAGTCTATTAGATCTCAATACTAAAACCTGTAACTTTGGAAGATTTCCAAGCCACTTTGGAAATGTATCTTGTAACTTGTTGTTCCCCAAATCAAGAGCTTCTAGTTGAATGCAATTGACCAAAGATCTTGGAATAGGTCCTCGGAGTTGATTACCATTCAAAGCTATGGTTGTTAAGCTGTTGCCGCCCTTTGAAAACATGGTGGGAAAAATCCAATTGAAGTCATTCATTCCCAAGTCTAACACAGAAAGTGCGTAATGTTCCCCCAAGCATTGTGGGATTGTGCCATTTAGGTTGTTATTTTTTAAGATCAAAGACTCAAGCGCACTCAAGTTGCAGATGGCTATACCTAAAGGTCCTTGGAGTTGGTTGGACTGAAGATTAAGAACTATAAGATCTTCCATGTTCAAAAAAATTTCTGTAGCTATCTCACCACTGAAATTGTTGAATGCAAAGTTGAGGACTGTTGCATTAAGAAGGTTTGAAATTGAATGAGGGATCAGACCATCTAGTTGATTGTTAGATAAATCAACAGAGGTTAATAATGATTTGCTTGAAATCTCAGGAAGTTTCCCTGTAAATCTATTTCTGCTGAGATCCAAAAAGAGTAAAGAGGGCATGCTAAAAATACAGGGAGGTATAGTGCCACTAAAATTGTTTGATGCAAAGTTGAGTTGGCTTGCATCAAGAAGGTTTGAAATTGAATGAGGGATCAAACCATCTAGTTGATTATTAGATAAATCAACAATTTCTAATGATGAATTACTAGAAATCTCAGGAAGTTTCCCTGTAAATCTATTTTCGCTGAGATACAAAAAGAGTAAAGAGGGAATGCTAAAAATAAAGGGAGGTATATTGCCACTGAAATTGTTGGATGCCAAGTTGAGGTCTGTTGTATGAAAAAGGTTTGGAATTGAATGAGGGATCAAACCATCTAGTTGATTATTATTCAAACCAACTATTTGTAATGACGATTTGCATGAAATCTCAGGAAGATTCCCTGTAAACTGATTCTGGGTGAGGTTCAAAAAGAGTAAAGAAGGAATGCAAAAAACCCAGGGAGGTATAGTGCCATTTAGTGTGTTTTCATACAAGTATAACACTTGGAGCTTTTGGAGTCGGCTGGCAACAGACGGGAGAGGGCCAATTAGTGAATTTCTACCTAATTCTAAATATGTAAGTTGGGTAAGGTTTACAACTGAAGATGGGAAACTGCCATGGAAATTGTTTGAATCAAGTTCTAAAATGTCGAGATTTTGGAGGTTAGAAAAGATATCTGGAATTTCTCCCTCAAAATGGTTGAATGAAATGTGTAAAACAGTTAGTTGGTTCAAATTTGAGATTGTTGGTGGGAGACTACCACTGAATTCATTACCCTCAAACTCCATTACTTTCAAATTGGTTAGGTTGCCAATTGTTTCTGGAAGAAAACCGGAAAAACTACTCTCTCTAAGCATAAAATACTTCAAAGACTTGAGATTGCCAATTGAATTTGGTAGCTTTCCAGAAATATTCGTCCAACTAAGATCTAACACTTGTAATGTTTGATTGCAATTCCAACGACTGAGCTTTGATAATGAACCAACTAGCTCCATGTTTTGCTGTAGAATAAGTGATTCTAATTTCGGCAGTTGGAAAATGTTATCAGGAATTGAGTCAACTATATTGTTATTTGAAAGATCTAAATATCGTAATTGAGCAGATATATTCCTTGGTATGGTAAATGGGAGACCAATACCAGCCATAGAGAATACCTCAAGCCTGGTGAGATTGTGAAGAAACAATAAACCCGAACTATTGCTGCTTTCATCAAAATTATAAGAAAGATCGAGAGAAACTAACTTGGACAGCTTTGAGATTTCAGATGGGATGGTTCCGGATAAGAAAGTGGTTGAAAGGTTGAGGTGAGTCAAGGCAGTCAAACTACCGATCACATGTGGAAGAGAGTCAAAAGAGAAATCATTATAGGCAAGATTGAGGGTTTGAAGGTGATGAAGTTGGAAAAGGGTGGTGTTAGCTTCGATGGATCCTTGAAGATTGCTGCAGCTAAGGTCCAAGGCAATAACATGGCCGGTGGAGGTATCACAGGTAACACCCTCCCATTTGCAACAATCTGACCCCTCATCCCAATATAGCTCCTTTATTGGTTGGCCAGCAATGATTACCCCCTCAGGTGTCTCAGGGTACTCCTCACATATTTTTGACGCAGATTCACTAATGTCAAAATGGTTTTTGAAATGCAGTAGCAGAGAGGCATCAGCAGGAGAACAGAGATGATCCTTCAAAGAAGAAGAAGAAGAAGAAGAGACATATAGAGTAAACAAGAATATGATGAAGAAGTAGAGCAAATGCATTTCTTTCATGTTTTTTTTTTTTTTTTTTTTTTAATTTGATTTTGTTTGGTTTGCAAGAATTGAATTGTTATGTGTATTTATTTATAGTGGAATAAATGTATGTGTATCAACATAACGGACTGGAAATTTCCTCCTTATTTAAATCATCAGTCAACCAGCAGTAATCAGACTTTAGTCGTAAAGGTTTCTGTTGCCAACTATTTTCATTTTCAAAAAATTTAAATTAATTTTATGCAATGTATAATGATCATTTATATTTACTGTATAAAAATATTATAGTTTATAAAGACTTTATATGTAGTTATGTAGTAGTTCAATGCTATAATTAGTTTCTATTTTACTATTTGCATGTTTAGATTTTTACTAATTAGGCCTAGAATATGAATTAATCATAATTATTATGACTTGATTTCTATTGCTTACTCCGATCCACAAGGTGGGGCATGGGAAATGTACTATACAATGTAACTTCACTATTTAGCAAAGCTTCTGCCGCGTGAGAGAGAACCTCTATATTATAGAATTATTATTTTTTTTTTGAAAGATAATTGCATATATATTAGTACAAATTACATCTTTTTTCTAATTTGAGAAAAAGACTTCTTACAAACATTCTCATCCCCAATTTTAATTATATTTCCAATTCAAATGAGTACATTTTGATAATTAATTTCTCATTCATTTATTATCAAATTTAATATATCAATTTCTTAGTCACACTTAGAAGAACTCGAATCCATTTGACTCAACTCAAATAAAAAATAGACCCCATATATATTTGTACCACAAAAACAACTCAAATTGCTAATTTTACTAAAATTTTCAACATAACATAACTTCACTGTACTGTTCAGCAAAGCTTCTATCCTATATTCCTATAGCGTATCTACTCATTAGCTGCATGTGTATCAAACATTTTCGAAATATGATGCCATTTCAAATTAACAATAACAATAGAATTAATTCCATAAATTATTGGAGTATTTTCACTTTTGATACCTAGCCTCAAAATTGATCAAAAGTAAGTACACGATTACATGGCGTTTGGTTAGAAGAAGAAAATTAGGGAGAAAAAAAATTGTAATTCCATTGAAAAAAAATAAGATAGGAATGAATTCAAATTATATTATTTGGCAGGTAGGAATAGCATTGATGGGAATTGAAAGGAAAGAAGTATGGCCATCTTTTGAATTTTTGTGGTCTCATTCTCGTAAATAAATGAGGTTCTACCAAAAATTATAATCGTGCTTAATTAATTAGTAGAGAGAAGTTAAAAATTGAATTGCAACTTTAGTAATTAATCAAAGAAATTTAGGGAAAAGTTTTAAAATTAATGGAGGAATGGATAAAAAGAGGCATGAAGGAGTGTGGCTTAGTTTCAGAATTTTTGAGTTAATACCCAATATAGTCTTCGACTATAGTGGTTTTATTCTCATGAAGGAAAGAATTGGGGGTAAAGCTTAGTGTTGTGAAATTACCAAATTGTCCATGATTTTAACACTAGTTAGTGATAAATCTGACCGTAGGGCTACATTGGCTACAATTGAAACATTTGAGGGACCAATTTTGCAAAATTGACAATGAGGGACTACATTGCATATCTAAAAACAATTGAAGGACCAAAAGTGCGATTTTCTCAAAAACTATTTTAGAAAAACTGTAAGTAAATATTTATTTATTTAGGATTGAAGTTAATTAGGGGATGAGGCCATGTATTGTCGGGCATTATGCGCGGATGGTTAATAGTCTTTGCATGCATTGACTTGGTTGATTTCTAATGCGTACTCTACGGGCATGGAGAAATGTCTGGATTTCCATGCTAATTAGACCTCTGACAATTAGACATATGCATTTTTTTTTAATTTGTTGTATTGCGTAGTCCACACGGCAATACATATACGTACGCCAATGCATGACTTAATTGGTTGGTTTCTATTGCTTACTCCCATCCATACGCCATGGAAAATGCATGTATTACACGCCGGTGCACTGTACTGTGCATGAAAATGACTTTGGGTATAATCTTTGCATTTCTCAACCCCACATAAATTATATAAATATCATTGCTTACTCTATGGGTTGGGACATGGAAAATGTATAACATAATTGTACTGTATGTTCAGCGAAGCTGACCTCTATCATAATTATTCCATCTCAATCTATCTATCACTTTAATTGTATTATTGCTTGCTTACTCCCTGGGCTCGGGCATGGAAAATGTATAACCTAACTTCATTGTTCAATGAAGTATTCGTTTCTATCATAATTATTCTTTATTTATATCATGATTTCTATTATATTGCTTACTCCACGTACGCGTCGGGGCATGGGAAATGGATGGATTTGATAAACGGGCATAAATACCTTGTAATGTACTGTGTATAAAAATGACTTGTGCTATATATATAATCTTTGAATTTCTCAACCCCACAAAAATTATTGCTTACTCCATGGATTGGGACATCGAATTATTGGACAACTCTAAGTGTGATAAGTAATTGATACTTATTCATATAAAACAGTTTTCAAGTAGGTTAATTTGTGTATAAAATTTCATACAAACTGCACTAGTCACTCGTGTACACTTAGCTAAGTCTCAGATGATCAGATAAACTGAAAGCCTTACATGCATCTTCCATGGTCCCTGGGATTTATGTGGGGAAAAGGATCGGATCGGAGTAGGATTAAAATAAGAATATTTACTTTAATAAGATTGAATATTTCACCTAGATGGATGCAGTCATCCTGTTTGCAATGCAGAGCAAAAACAAGAAAAAGTTGATAGATTGTGCCTTTGTGTAACATTTTTGCATTTAAAAGAATTCAATAGTTTATAAAAATAATGTATGACATTACAAAATGCACTTAGTTAGAATTGAAAAGTTTGTTTTATTATGTATTAATAACTTGTAAGAAAAAAGAGTAATGTTAGATACATGATATCTTGAGACTTTAATCTGAAATACACATGCTCTCTTCTCTAATTTTATCATATTGCCACTACTTTAACCGCTCTAATTTCACTTTACCTACCCCACCCTGCAATAAAAAGTGAGTTAATTCCAGCGGAGGTTCATTTCTTTGGCGACAATTTCAAATTTAGTCTCAAACTATCGTTTTTGTCATTTAACACTCCAAATTATCATATTTCCGGTGAAACTCTATTTTAGGCAAGTGTATCTTTGTCTCTTCAATTTTTTTTTTAATTATTTTTCCAGTGACTTAATTCGTGCAGAGCTCTCTTGTCTTAATTTAGTGGCAATTCTAAATTTAGACAAATAAAATTTGATCCAAATTTTAAAAGGATGATTTTTTTAAGATTCCCTATTGCATACTATTTTCATACTCCCAATCTCGCTAAAATATTTTTTTTAAAAAAATGTTTATAATAACTTTAGAGAAGTTGGAGGATTTATCGTGGTAGGCTTGTAAATTAAGGACCAAAGCTGGTAGGATATCAAACTCAGAGGACTATCAAAAGTTGGAGGACTTATTGTAGTAAACTTGTAATTTTACGATTAAATTAAAGTTGGTAATGCCTCAAATTCGAAGGACATTTAGGGAATTTACTCTAATTAAAACTACAAATTAAACATATTACATTTGTTGGTCCCGGTAGGGTTATAACGAGAGTCTAGGGAGGGGGGGGGGGGTTAATAGACTCTTCTCGATTTTTGCAGAATAGCAACCTCTCGAGGTTGTAACGCAGCGGATAAATTAACTTGATTTTAGTTGCTTTGCACAGTTTGAAATTATAAGATAACTTTCGGATTGGACGAATGATAATGCAATGCTGAAAAGTAAAGCACGAAAGTAAAGAGATAGGGAGACGAGAGTTTTTATAGTGATTCGGCCAACTTTACCTACTCCAATCTTCTTCCACAACTTGTGGAAGGATTGCACTATCACTCGTTAGTACAAATACACGAAAGCTTCCTTGATCACTAAGCCGGACAGCTTCCTGTAGGTTTTTCAACTCTGCGAGTTTACTCCGCCTCTATCAACGTCTTCTTCAGAGTTGAGGTTGGTAGAAAGTATTTTCTGATTTCTCCAACACCGTGAAGTCTTGACTGAATGAGGGATGATTGCTTCGTACAAGATGCAAGACTTCTTCAAGGTGGAAGATGAGGATCGATGAATTTCTTTAAGAAATCTTCACGCCTTGAAACTGGTTCGCAAAAGCTTGGTAAGAAAGTGAGCTTATACAAGAACTTTTGCTTAGAGAGTAATGATCGAGTGAAAAGAACCAGCACCTTCTCAGTTGATGAAGGTGGGTATTTATAGGTGTGGAAAATTTCATCCGTTGGAGGGAGATGAAATTTCAAACCTATTATCCAGTGGGTAAGGATCGGGGAGCTTGGCGCAATAAATGCTCCATTAATGCGGTTTGTACCATGTAGCCGTTGTAGACATGAACAACCTTGGGGTTTTTGTCTTTTAGCTTCTGAAGTATAGTACAGCTTCATTTAATGCTCATAGGTATATGTGTCTCACACTTTAAGGTCCTTTTGTCCCCATGATGGTTAATCAACACAGACAGTTGAGACATTCTTCTCGTTATGGGAGAGAATGAGTGTCTTGATAAATCTTCATAAAGGTTACTGTCTTGTCGAGATGGTTGATAACCTGAGGTGATCTTTTGTTGTTGAAGCCTTTGATCTCGTGCTCTTTGTCTCTTTTCTCTTTGGCAAACCTAACTAAAGAACATAACTCATTTTTCGTGTATTTGTCTAACTTAACACGAATTACAAGATGAGTTATGGCATCTTTCGTCTATAACGAAAGCAGCGATGGAAATAACGAAAGTTAGGGGTCTACATTCTAAGTTACATTGGTATCATCAAAATCCTAATACAAGTGTTCCTAACAATTTCCCCCTTTTTGATGATGTCAAAACCTATACTCTTCTCATAAGGCTGGTAAATGTCCCATAAAGGATTCTTTATTTCAAAACAGCCATTAATGGAACTTACAAAAAGTTTAAGGAGAGCATAATGTAAAATATTTT